CTGCGGCACAGTCTCAGAAATAGGGTTAACTCAGGAATAGAGCTGGTAAACTCTTTCCTGCTCTAAATGTAGCCAGGATTGAGATTTAATTAGCTCTATTGCTGAAGGAAATGTGGTAGGGAGCTGCAGCTTGCTGTGAACATTCCTCAGGAAGGAGAGCAAAGGCAACTGCGCTAATTAAAAAGGCTTTGGAGTCTTTGAATGTTTTTTATTATTTTCCCAGATAGTAAGTGTAAATCTCAGAAAATTATAATATGTAGGAAAACATTTTGAGCAAAAGAGAAAAGGAGGGCTAACATCTGGCCACGTAATCAAACTGGGATTTACTGCAAACATAAGATGGATAAGATCTATCAAAGCTATGCCTTGTAAAGCAGCACTGGCTTTTCTCACTAAAGAACTTCATATCAGTTTATAATACATTATCCTGGAAACACTGATGTAAACAACCAGTAGTAATCGCTTATAGCCCAAAATCCATTGTGCCATTTGTGTGCAGGAACAAATGCAAGTAGATTTGTAAGTATATAAAATCTCTCGCAACTTTAGCTTTGAGATCAGTTCTTAGCTAAGGATCCAACTCAATCCTCTTAGTTTAAATGTGATATAAAAAGAGATGTAGACGTGAAATTCCCTCTTGTTTGTTGACTCTTGACTGTTTTGGACAAAACTTTCTTCATCAATATTCTTCCCTCCATGCAAACTTTTTCTTTGCCTCAAATTGAGAAATTCCTTGCTTTACCAGAAAAAATCTCATGTTTGATGCACCAGCATTTTCTGACTTAACATTTAATTTGAGTTTTTAATCTAGCCTAAACAGTCTGTAACTTCTCCAACCCAACTCAGCTCCCAACCCTGCACACTTGTTATGTAATTGTCCCTTTTGCTTCAGAGCATCCCAAGTCAATCTTCAACTTAAAATTATCAATGACTTACGATGTGTGCTCTGCTTGCAATTGACAAAAGGAAGACAATGTCTTAGTCTAAACAGTGTATATGGGTACTCTTTTACTAAATATAAATGAATTAAAGATTGCAATCTAAAGGCCTCAGAAAAATTCATTTTTATTTTTATTGTTTTTTGCTCCACTCTTTCAAGCAGCATGCTCCCTTGTGTCAAATAGCAGGTATAATTAAAAAGCCTTGGTAACCAAAAGATAAAGCAACTAGGAAACAGCACTTCATATGAAACAATAAACACTGTCTGCACGGGTAATATAGTATGGTTACCGGATTTCTGTTTTGAAACAATCTTCAGGACCTGCTTGGCCAATTGCTAAAACAGAAGCAGTGATTTTTACTATTTTACGTATTATCTATTTAGCCATTTGCCTTTACATGTAAATATCCTAGGAGTATAGCTGTGAAGTCTCATGAAGACAATAAATTTAAAAAAAAACTGTAGAAAAAGATAAGTGGGAATATATCATACAGCTTAAAATTATGTTTTCCTCTGTTGCCCAGAAATAATTTTCTCCCAAGGAAAGCCTCAAGCACTCTCTAAGCTCTTTAGGATTTCAGCATGCTCTTTCTGATGCTCAGAATAACTGAACTAAGGTCCTCGGTGCTTGTCATAATAATATCAACCTAAATAGCCACCCCTATTTACTGAATACTGACTTCAGACTATCTTGGTTATTTTCTTGCTTTCTTCGAAAACTCAGCTTAGAGACAGTGCCTTATTTTTTCTATTCATAAAGTTTTTTGAATATTCTGTCAGAATAATCTTCGTAGGATGTTCTTTGCATTTACTCTTTAGCATTTGGGTAAAAGGCATCATACAAATTGTAAAGCCCTCCTTTGGCATTTCACACACCCCACGTCACAAAAAAAGTGAGTGTTAGGCAACACTTTGTTTAGTTCTGCTAAGTAAATGATGTGTTTGCTCCTGACTTTAGATCAAGATTTTCACGTATGATACATTAACAAGATACAGTACAGGCTGAATAAGCAGGTACTCAGACCAAGCTACCTTCCCTGAAACTATCAAGTTGCTGCTGGCTTTTGTATCCCAGTGGTTTAATGCTGGCAGCAAGGCAGGTGTCCACAGTTTGAAATTTGTAATCCAGAGGTTATCAGAACCTCACCCTGGCCCTCAGTCAGTCATTGTGTCAGCTGCTGCTTACTGCTCTCACTTACTGATAGTACTAAATAATTAGGTCATCCATGCCTCTCTCAATACTAACGAGCCATCTGCGGATTACTGAGATAAAAACATTATTTGTACAGTGGAGGAGGAAGAAAATTCCTTTGCTCCCGGTGCTGGCGGAGCACCAGACTCTGGGCACTATTTATATCACAGTGAGCCAGAAACTGAAGTTGCTTCTCTTCCAGCTTCTTCCCTTCTGATTCATCCTTTGCATATCTGCAGCTGGCAAATAAACTTTTAAGAAAAATAGAACAAGAATGTGGAATGTGTTTAATATCCTGTCTTCCAAAACTATGGACAAAAGGAATGACATGTGGTCCCTGGTAAGAACATTAGCAGCTGTCTGATAGAGCATTTCAAGATCATACAAAGTCATGTGACTTTAATTATTCTCTCAGGATAGGCTTTTTTCTCTTCCATAAATCTTTTTGAACTTTACTTTTGTTTTTATAAAGGGAGGACACAATTTACTTTTACTGAAATGAATTTAATACAAAAGTGCTTCTAAAAATACTTCAAATAGTCCCCGAAAGTTTTGCTATCAGCCGTTTGTGAGGTTGAATTTGAAAATATCTTCTATATGATAGCTCTTTCAAATGTATAAAACATTTCAAGAATATGCCAAGGTTTTTGTTCTGGATTTTCCTTTTTTCACTTTTTATTTTTTCTGGAGCTTTTTTCCTTTTCCCTGAGCAGAACAGCTATTCATTGAAACAGAGCTTATTGTCATGACAATGCTGCTGCAGATCTGCAGAAAGTACCATCAGGAAACTAAAATAATACAGTGCAAATTTCTGGAGTTCATGAGCTTACAACATTAATCTCATGCTTTCTTTGCACTTTTACATGAAATATGTGACAGTTTTTCTCATGAACAAAGTCAATGTTGCTAATTTATTTCATACTTTTAATATACTTCATTTATCTGGGAGTAGAACACAAGCCCTGCACTTTTGTGCAACTGAGATAGGAGAATTTATTTGGACTTGCACAGTTTAATGATTCTACCTTTGTATTTGTTTAATATAAATGAAATAAACCAACATGAAGAGGGATAAGTAATCTGGTTGAGGATTAGCTCGGTTTTATCATTCACAAGGTAAATAGGATGTGTTCCGTTCCCCAGTCAGAGGACTGAAGTTTTAGGCTTAGAATGCTGACATGTGTGCACTACTAGCTTTTCATTTGTGTAATTATTCAGCAATGTTCACTTTGTATCAGCTGTTTTGATAATGATCTTACTGTTCATCCCTCTCATTCAGAAATGCATTTCTGTGCTTGATGAGTGTGAAGGGGTAGTGGGGTGAAAACATTTCAACTTGTGAAAACATTTGAGAAGACTCTTTTTTTTTTTTTTGTTCTTCCTGTTTTTAATCTAACATTAATGGAAACCATATCAGTGGAAAACAATCTAACTGTACTCGAAATACCCATTCATGAAGACCTAATTCACTCAAAATGAAATCTGTGTGTTTAGCTTCTCCAAAGAACAGGCTTTCCAAAAAAGAAATTTACTCTGAAGGGTGACTTAAAAAGAAATGTATTTTATGAATAATTATTAGGAAAATATCTGCTTGCTTTTGCTTCTTCATGATACACATTATATGACTCCATCACTTCTTTGTGTAATTCTCTTTGTAATTTTTAGCATTATTATTAATAGGTTTATCTACTTGGATTTTGTCTCAGAGGATCTGAGTTAAGTGTACTAATTCTTCAATAACAATGGAGTCAGTGGATAAATATTAGATATGTTTTTTCTTACCTTTTTTATGTTTTAGGGATTTAAATAATAATTTTAATGATGAACAGATATTCCCAAAGCATCCCTATTCAAGGAACCTCAGGGTGTATTTCTCAGTTTTTTTAATTGACTAAATATCTCAAATGAATCTACACTCACTTTTTTTCCTCTCTGCTCCACTTATCTTCCTTCATAAGCTTTAATTTCCTTAGGAAACAAATACAGTTGTTCTGCATTGAACGGCACTAGGCCGCGTTCTAGTTAAGCTGAGCCTTCAGGCAAATTGTAGAGTTCACTGGTTTGACAGCCTCACATTTCAACGTAGACATAACCTTCCAGAGTAATGAAGGTTTTGAGCATGTAATGCTAGGGGAAAAAAAAAAAATAAACTGAAATTAACAGAAGTTAAATTCCACTTATTTAATTATTTATTTTCTGTTCAGAAGCCTGCCATGTTTTCTTAATAAAGACAACAAAAGCCGTAAAAATCTTCCTTTCCTTTAATTGTCTCTTTTCTTCTCTTTTTCTGTAAGTCTGGCAGGGATTTACATTCATGTGGTATTCTTAGATACAATTTCAGGTTGCTCACAGAAGCCGTGTTAAGGTTGTCACAGCAACCCAAGGCAAGAATTACCTTGCCTTTGAAGATTCTAGATTCAAACCAATTATTATTTTCTAATGAGGGGTGGCTAAATTTTGTTTAACTTTGTAAAAACCACATGCTTATTAATTCATCCTGCTGCTGTTGACCTTCTTCACTCTAAGTGCTCAAAATCAGCAATTGTACTACAGCTGATGTAATGACTTGGTTGACTGCAAATAGTATTTACTCAGCTGGATGAAATGTATAACCCTAAGATCAAATCAGTTTTTGAAACATTATCTAAAGAAACTTTCCTGCTTCTTAGATGTTTGATATAGTAGCGGAGACTAATGAATCCCTAAGTCCAGAGTGTCGATCTATTATTCTTCTCTCCTTCCTCAATTAATGACTTTTTTTCTTCCAGTTTATCTTTAGAGCTTTTGAAACCTATCAACGCTCACATTTTTTTGTATATGTGTTCTGCAAAGAGCAGAAGAATTAAACAAGTGTTGTAGCTCCTTTTATTTATTTTCAAATTAAACAAAATATAACAAAAATCCTTTTTGGTTTCAGTGTTGTAATGCCAGCAACTTTAGGCTTTGCTCACTTGCTCTTTCATGGTTATCTTTTCTTCTGGTTTTCCAGTGTGAACCTCTGCTCTTAGGTCTGGTTCCCATTCGTTTCAGCACGAACTGTTTACAATCTGGATAAAAAAGTTTGATGTGAATGGGAAAGTTTCTTTGAGCAGTGTAACTGTAAATGAGAACTCGATCCTCTGCTATGGTACAGATGACTTTATCTCACAAAGATAATTCACATAAAGAAATCGTAAATACTACAGATGACAGATTTCTAATATGAAACCTACATTCCTCTCAGTCTCTGTGGCTTTAATACTTTAAAAATAATTAACTCCTTAAGGATCATGAATCTCCTACCCCCCTGCCACAGGCAGGGCCACCAACTTCCTCATTTAATGCTAGACCAGGCTGTCCAGGGCCCCATTCAACCCAGCCTTGAACAGCTCCAAGGACAGGGCATCCACAACCTCTCTGGGCTCTTTGTTTTCTTGTTTCTTTTTCTCATGGGGAGAGAGGGAGTAGGCAGGGGTGTACTCATTGACTTTCTGCTAGACAATGACTGAACCACTAACATATGCAATAGAACCATGACATTATTTTTTGTAGGTTTGTTTATTGCCTCTTCCCTTCAATGGTCCCCTCAGTCAATCCGCAGTTCAGAGAAATCGCTTGATTCGAAAAAGCCCAAATTACCTTTTCTTGTAGAAACTGTAGCCGAGAGTTATTAGGGAGAGCTATTAGGTGGCAGATGGTGAGTCTTTATAAAAAAGAAAATTTTTTAAATTCTGGAATTTCCCCTTCCAATTAGGTTGTAGCAGGGAAGAAGAAATTAAATTATTCTCTGGAAGTATAAAAGAGGTAATTTTTTTCTCTCTTTCATTACAACAAGATAGGAATACTTTCTGCATAGAATGCTTTTCTTTTCTTTTTTTTTTTTTTTCCCTGTCCTTTGACTCAGAATCTTTTTTCTAGTTGTGAAACGTGTTTCGTGTGAAATTCATATACTTCATTTTTTTTCATGATCTTCAGGGATTTTTTTGTCTAAAGATACTGCTTGTCTTCTCCTCTTATTAATCTTCCCTACATCAATGAATGTAGTTTTCTCCCGTATACTTCTCCCTCACAAACGAATTACTTAAATGTGCAGATTGCACCCAAGGTCTGTCTCCTATACACCCATATTCTGCAGCTGTCTTCCCATGTTAATAGAGACTTACTAATTTTCTGTTTCTTGATCAGTTACAATTACATAGGAACAAAGTCACAATGGTATCTGGAGAGACAATGAATTGGATCTTAATGAAACAGAATTTGCTCTAAATAAGAAGGAATTTTCCGTTGTTCTTAAGGGAAGAATATAGAATATTTTCTAAATAAAGTGTTACGCACAGATTGGAAAGGAATGAATACAAACCTGCATTCTTCAGTTTTATGAACTTGAATGAAATTAAGCTATAATTATGGAAAATGTTAACTTTTATAATGTAATTTACAAAGCTTTAAGAAGAAAATAGGTTATTACACACATCCAAAATTTTGATCATGAAGATTTATCAGTCTGAGAACAGAAGCAGAAAGGAACAGTCCAGCAATTGGGTTAATCTCACCTTTAATGTAAAAGGGAGAAAGATTTTTTTTTTTCTTAAAGCAAGACAAAGTGAAAAGTAATGCAATCTGTAAACGTTTTCAATCATAACAGTATGTGTAATTTTCTTGATTACTCTTGCTGCAAGCAATCTCAACAAATTAGTAATCTAATCAAGACCTGTAGAAAAAATAATCAGGTTTTAGACCCACAGTTCTGGCTACAAGACTGTTCTAGCATCTCACTGGTTGGTTAATTAGAAACTTTTCCTCATTTCTGGGCTAAATATATTCATGAACACTTCTGTTCTATTTTTTGGAGGGTTGGGTTTTCTTTTCTTTGTTTTTCTGGGGTAGACTAATAGGTTAAATATGTCCTAATTGCAAATTCTTCTCCTAGTATTTCTTGAAAGATATCTTATCTCCTCCTATTTTTATTTTTATTTGAATTTATTATTAAGCTAACAAACTAGCTAAGAAACTATGTTAGGTTCTTGCTTTAAATGATACCCTTACGCAAAACCTGATATCTATCCTTGTTGGTGAAGGGTAAAGAGAAGAGATATGTGAGATGCTTTTAATTAGATAGGTTTAATGTAGGCAGTAATCTTGAACAGCAATTAGCTCACACTGAACTATTCATTCTTACAACTGGACTGTTGACAGTACTATAAAGGCCTGGCAGGTTAAAGCTGCAGCTACACAGCACTGCTGCAGTCTTTTGTGCCTGCAGTTCAGAGATCTCTTTCGCCTCCTCTCATAAGATCAGAGTGCTGTTCCTAAGATCTTCCTTGAAAGTGGCACAGTTTAAGTAAATTTTCTTGAGCAAAAGTGCTCCGTGTTAAGAAGTACAGCTGAGATGACATTAATATGCTCCCCCTTTGATTGGAAACACTTCTTCTATACATCTAAGTTTTCATGGCCACATCCTTTCAAGGCTTTCTATTGCTTTGGCATTCTCCAGTATTGAGCTATTATTTAAAACAAAATAACTTGGCAATATATTCATGAGTTTTCATTGTTGTATTAATAAGTTCCATGATACTTCTATTGCTTCAGTCTTCCAGGTTACCCAGGTCTCTCTTGCTCATTCTTTCTCTGCGTTGACAGGCAGATTTCACTGGCAGCTTTTCAAGCTTCATTTTGCAGTAATGAAAAATTAAGCAGTTGTAAGAATATAAGAAATACCGTACTGAGTCAGGCCAATGGTCCATCAACATTAATGCCTACAGCCATAGCAGTAGAAGATTGCATTTAGGAAGCACGTGTGCCTGACTTACAGTCTGTATCCATGTCAAAGCTAAAACTAATTCCTCCTGATGATAGCCTTCTGGAATTGTCCTATTCCTGTCCAACACAGTGCATGTCCTCTAAGCATTCAGTTATTTGGTACATTTCTTATTTTTTTTCTATCTAACTAATATTTTCCCAGGTTACTAGCAGCCATCAGCACAGTTTGAGTAAATGCTTCCACATTCCAATTCATGTGCATATGCTAACATATAGGATTCTAATCTCTCACAGAATTTTTTAGTGTCCACATACCATGAGAAACTTTATAAATGAGTGCTTTAACTTTTAGTCACTACCTAAGGTAAATATCACATCCTTCTTCTCCTTCCTCATTTACTACAGAGGAAGCCCTTCTTTCTCTATGAGAGCTATAATAGCAAAGATAAAAAGAAATCTGAGAGCAAGCCCTAGGGTGCCACAATATATTTTCTGCGGTCTAGACCATTTTTAGATACTTAAAATATAAATGCAGCTTGTTCTCCGGTGTCTATTTCTCCTGAGGATTCTATGTTATTGCAGGACCTTTTAATCAGTTTCAATTTGTAGGAAATTAACAAAGGATCTCATATGTGGTTAAAAATCACAGTCAGTCCTTGGAGAGATAACAAAGCCATCCATCATCTCTGGAGAAGGCTGTCCTTATGACTGAGGAAATCTGTGTCTGTAGAGGAGCCACTGAAAGTAATGATTTTATTTTTGTGTATGTTCTTGCTTCATGCTATTGGCATATACATTTGGTTTAACCCCCAAAAATCAGAAAATTGTAAGATGGCATTACAAGTAATAAAAAATGTATACTCTGTACTCATGCTGTGTGCATGCCTGCCTCCTGTCAGTGGAATAGGTAATCCTTATTAGTCTAGGCATAAAACCTACAACAATGGCATTTCATTGCCACAACATATCTTTCCATTTTCATTTCTGAAATGCTATCATTCATCCTTTTGATCTTAACATTTAATCTGTAAAAACTGCAGATATTCTCAAGATAAATTATTATGAATTCATAAAACAAATTCACATGAATTCATGCATGTGATATGATGTCATCTGCATAGAGTGAGTCACTTACATGGAGATCATTCATGTCATGCTTGCTTTTCCTTGCATATTAAAAATGATCTCTTCTGCCTTAGGAACAGAATGGTTTCTGGCACAGGTGGTTTTCCCTCAGCTTGACTTACTTTCTTCTTTTTTTTTTTTTTTTTTACAGTAATTACTTAAGTATCCCAGGTACTTTGTACATCTGTTTTATATTTTCAATAAATTTGTCTTTAACTACATATAATTTTTCAGTTTTCCATACTATCTCCTGAATCAACCAGCTTCAAAATGTCAGTAGAAACACTGTATATTTTTATTCTTACCTTTACTCCATTGTCAGTATATTTTAGATTGGTGCAGCTTTAGTATTTATTTTCTGAGGCCATATTTTTCTTCAGCAGTTGTACCCTTGAAAACTACTTTTAACATGCTGATTATCACTTTTATCATGATTTTGCACATTATGAGTGATAAGCTTCTGTCTATGCTTACTGGGATTGGCAGTATTCCTTTATTCCCTTGTTGTCTCAATGACTACATTTACCTGGCATCAGATATCTCCTGTGATTTTTATTTTTTCTCCTAATGCTTTAGAAGAGCTTTTCTTTCTAGTTTTGGCGGATCTAATGATCTGTTGTTGATTCTTTTAGAATTCATAATTAGAACAGCTTCTGTTCTCTATTTATGATAATGATCTAAAACTTATATCCATTTTGCTTCTTATTCTATTCATCCAGTGTCTTAACAGATCGGGATAGATTGTAGATCTTAATGCATCTGTTCTTTTAGCATGCTTATTTTCAGATCATAGATGACCTTTTCTCTCTAAGTAACTCAAAATTTCTGTGCACTGCTTCCATGGAACAACTTCAGATTCAAATGTGAGAAAATTGGGATGCTCTGCTTCCAAACTGATGCCAGAAACATGTTCAGAATATTGGTAAAACTGAAGACAGTCCTATGAAATACATTGCTATGACTCAGTAACATCTAGGAGAAAGAATACATTAGCTGCAAGAAAGGACAGAAAGTGTTTGCAATGCCATTTCAGTGAGGTATGCAATGAATGGAAATGATTGATTTCAAATCTGGGTACTCTTACCTTGAGAACCTTAAAAAGGAGGTGGAGGTGGATGGGAGCCAGATCTGCTTCCTTTATGTTCTCCTTGTTTGCATGAGTTGGTGAACTGACTAAATCTCCTCTGTCCTGTAGGCTCCGTACAAAAACAGCTAGTGAAATCAAAATGACCATATCTAGATGACCCTTAATCTAGTTCATATTACAAAGCAGCCCCATGCAGTACTCCTTTTCCTTTTATTGCCTGCCTATTATGCAAATACTGCACACATTAGACTATATTATTCCTAAAATTGATGTGATGATTGCTCCCACTCCTCTAGCTGGAAAATTGCAGTTTTTTAACTCCCTTCTCAGATGTTTACAAACAACTTTAAAGACAGATGTTGGGGTTTTATAATCTTTAATCTTTTAAATATATATATTTTTAACAATCGTTGTCTTTTAAATCTTATAACATTTGTCTCCTATTTAAAACTATCTTAGTGTGTTTATAAACAGCCATTATATTTTTATAAACAGCCATTATATTTTTATAGCCACTATATTTTTATATTATATTTATATATATGGGTTTATAGATGCAGATTTTACTCTGAAAATGAATTCTAAAAAACAATGTTAGTGTAGGGCTGACTCAGCATTACCTGAGAGAAGATACACAGCTTCCAAGGTTGTTCATTAATGACATAATCTCTCTTTAGGGCTAGGTTTCGTCTGTACTGTAAGTGATATGTTACAGTTGCATATTTTTTCCTTCTTCAGTATACTCAAAGAAAACAAATCTCCTGTCATTTCTCTTCTCTCTCCAAATTTCAGAATTTGAGCATAAAAGCGTTTCCTAAAATGCATTTGAAATATACATTTTTTTAAATCTCAAATAGTTACTGTATTCTTTCTGTTTCTCCACCATAGGACTTCACTCAGTTCAGAATATTCAGCAGATTCATATTGTTATTATTAATATTAACATTTGATTCACACATCTAATCTGCTTGAAAGAACAGCTTTCACTACTTCACATTAGAGATAGTCATGGTACACAGTCTTCTTCAGTGGAATGGTGTTTTGTGGTAATTTTTTAAAATTCCTTGTGGAGTCTCGTTTTCCCTAATTAGGCACCATTAATTTCAAAAAGGAGCTTATTGCTGTGTATGTGAGGGCTCAGCTGTGACTGTATGGTAATTGCCAGTTCTTTCACTGCTGCTGAAGTAGAAAAGAAATGAAACAATAACTTCTAATATCCAATTACAGGAAGTTCTTGATGCCTACATTTGATTTTGTTGCATGAATCTTTATTAACCCAGTGTCTGTTATTAACCCAATATCTCATACTGTGAGTCAGGCATTAAAAAATGTGAATGTACTTTATCAGGCAACTTGAGTTGTGCCTAAAAAAGGCTGGGGTAGACAGTCCCTTTAGCATCTCTTTGGATTCAGATTCCTACAAGAAGCTACTCAGGCAAGACATTTGCAGTGTGTGTGTATATATATATATATATATCTGCATATATATATATATATATATACATAAAATTTGAAAAGCAGAAATGCTGCTTGGGGTATGTATGTTTAGATTTAGGGTAAATTGAAACTGAATCCAAGGTGAGTGTCTTGCAAAGTAACGATTTTAGGACAAATGCTACAGTTCTAACCAGAATACTCAACATTTGTCATTGTAATTCTCTTCTCTCATGCACCTATGTATGTATTTTGTTAAATGGTGAAATATCAAATTAAATTTGTGGCATTTTACTGAATGCCTCTGATTTTTCTGTATAGTTATATGGTTACATCTATGCAAGATTTTCCATTTACATGTTTGTTACCATGTGCTTTCTCTTTATTATGTCATGGTAAGTTTTCTACATTCAGTGCACTGTATTCTGGAAAGCATTAAAGGAACAACCAATATCTGCTTCTAAGTGAATTATCTTTCATCTGAATCACAATACAGTGAAAACAATTGAAAGGGCAATTGTGATACAGCTTCTCTCTGCTTTCCAGACTAGATTTTTTTCTTAGTGTCTTCTAACTCTTTTAAATTTTATTTTTGAAGAAGGGGAAGTGGGAGGTTGCACATCAGGCTCTGTTTAGCTATGGGAAGAGGGTAATTTCAGTACAAAGAGATTTAATTATGCAAAATTAAATTGTGTAATAACACCACTGCTTCAAATTCATTGGATTATTTTAATTATCTCAGAGTAGTTCTTGCTTAAGAAAATTACGTCAGAAAATCTTCCTATGCATTATCTGATTATTTTCACTAAGCATTCTGTAGTCCATTGTCACCTGAAATGGCTATGGCTACAGCATTAACATCAATAAAAAATGGGGTTCACACTATTCATAAGATAGAGAAAGAGATTGCAAAAAGATACCACTGTGATTAAAGTAAAAGCAAGTTGAATAATGTGATAGGGAAAAAGACTGTACAGGAACCAGCACCAGCTTTAGTGATATTCTTCTGATATGCTAACTGAAGTAGGCTGGAGATTTAGCCAATATATGCAAGGCTGAACTTTCAAGAGGAAATCTTAAGATCCTATTTTATGTTATTATTTTTTCCTGGGAAAATTATAAAAATACCAGAAATTTCCAAAAGCTTAGGTAAACCAACTGTGATACACACCCTGTAGAAAGAGGGAAATATTTTACATACACACAGTTATATTTTTTAATTCCATGGGAAATTTCACTGATGTGGAGAAATGTTTTGTGGAGGGAACTTTTATCTGAATAAGGAGAATTCTTGTGAAAAGTTTTTATTACAAGGGGCCTTTTTAAATTTTATTTTCCCCTCATCTCTCTCCCTCCCCAAACCCGCTCCTTTAAAACACATCATTCAACATCACATTTCACAGAGTGTGATGGGAATCTTCATTAAAACATGAATATAAATAATGTTACTTCTATGTCAGTGATCCTATATTCTCCAGCTGAGCATCCCATTTTGCAGCTTAAGAGATCTTTACGTGCAGCAATGTATGGAGTGAAAACTACCAGCCATTTCTAATTTACGTCAATAACATAAAGCCATACTATTTCACAGAAAATAATATGTCTGAAACTATCTGCTCCCTGCAAGCACTACTATTTATTATGATAGCACTTCTTCTTCACTGCCCAATATAAAAATTGCATATTTGAATGTCAAAAAACATTCCATCTGTTATCAGAGACTTTTTTTTCCGAAGTATTTGAAAGCCTGTGACATTACAAAAATGGACCATATTTTATCAACACTTACTGCTTCCTGCAGATGACTGTGAAAAGGCCACTGTTTAGCTAGCAGTGACCAAATATTGCTTTCTGTACCATAAATCACAGTAATTTGAAATAACGGTGACATTCAACTTTGGAATATGTTTTTCCTTTGGTGACCAGAATTTTGCGATGATCACCACCTGATTTAGTTTTGCTGCAGGTGAACTCTGCAATTTAGCTCTTGACAGAATTCAAATTAAAATTGTCTTATGCTATTTAGCTTGGTTAGATGACATTAATGTGATTGCTTATGTACTTTCTGTCTCACAGACTTGAAGTGCTCATTTCAGGCTCATCAGCAATTAGCTATCTTTGGTGATAGCTGCTGTAAATGTACTCTGGGGAAACTGATTTAAGAAACTGAAGCTCTTCAAGGTAAATGTTTTGTGGTGCTTCATTCCAAACCTCCAAGAATTCATCAGAATCCTATTTAAAGATGAATTTCTACCAAGTTGTGAGCTGCCAACTTGAAAGCAAATTTTATCTTACTGCAAGCAAATGTGGTCATAGAATGAAACAAAACAGTTGCTAGAGATCCAGCTTCTACTGAAAATCCATGTATAGCTGTTTTAGAGGAGGTTTTTGAGAGCATAGTAGAAAGAATCAACACTTTACATCATGAAACTCACAATATTCAGGCAGTGAAAAAAGAGATAATGATACTAACTCAAGCTTTGGACACTGATCATTGTATTCGAGTGGGGAAAAAAAAAAAAATTAGCCATGAAGATTGGTTCCCCTCTTCTCTTTCCCTTAATTAGTAGTTTTATGATGGAGGCTGTGGAAGGATCAGGTATTTATTTTCTGAGTGGGATGATGTTCCCTTGCCTCTTCTACTCCTCCACTTCTTTCTGATGTAATGAATGGGGCTGAGCTGCTATTCTTCTGATCCAAAGTTAGTAAGTAATCACATCATCTTCCTTAGTAAATTTTAAAATCCTAAATTTTTCCTATTTTTGAGGGGAGTAAAAATATTTTGATTGTACGGTTTGTTTTTGTTTCATTTTTTATTTTTTTTTTTAACTTAATGACAGTACTACATTCAAATATTTTGAAAGTGACATTGAATCTTTGAGCTTGATGGGTGGAGTTTCAAGGCCACTTATTCAAGGCATCCTATTGATATTGTTGGGAAGCTGGGAGTCCTGGAGCCATGAGAAGTGATGAAAGATCCTGGAGCTTTGCAACCCACTGTCTTAGCCCTGAGGGTGCTCAACTTTCTGCCTCTTCCTCCTAATGGAATGGCAAGATAAATTTGTCCTGGGGTCTGTGGGTCTCCCAGACACATTTTTATACATCTTTTCCTGTATCAGGTCTCCTAAACCCTGCAGTGGTTGAGATCTGGGCATGAAAATAGTGCAAGCTCGTGGTTTCCAATGCCAGAGCACGGCACATGCTGAGACTGCCCTGGAACCAGGCAATGCTAAGCCTGTCAGCATCTGTGAGGTGTTGCACCATAAGCTGCAAGGGATTGCCAGCCAAACTCTACCTGTGCTTGGGTGAGACTTTGCTGGGAAACTGTTTTCAACAAATTAACCTCTTCCATGACTCTGAGGAGTAGTCAGTGAATTTTCTACCAGCTATAAATCAAAGGCCACTGTGGGGTCCTATTACTTGCTCTTGTCACCAATTTGCCTCACTTTCATGTGATGTCCCAGTGTCTGTGCACGTGGAAAAAGCACTCAGAGATAGAATGGCAGCACTCAGTGGAAAATAAGTGGTTTTATGGGAAAAAAAATTCTCAACCTCACTGAAGTGACTGTGGCTGAAAAAAAATACAAATGATTGAGTGTTTGCAAGGCCAACGATATGTCTTTTTGAAAAGCTTCATTCTTGTCAGACCCAGATGGTGTGGCTAATGCTTTCCATTTTCCAGCCAAAGCAGGGGCTTAGACAGCAGCAAACTGTCTGATAAATCATGTGGATGTAGCAGCACACTGAACACTTGGCAGGTGTTCCTCTTTCTCTGTTGTGGAGTTTACGCACATAGTTTTCCATAGTTTGGGGTGAAGTAAGGCCTTTCTTTCCTTGGAGCTGCAGAAGCACAACAGCTCAGAAGCCAAGACATTGCTAGCTGAGGCGCAAACAGAAGTGCTCAATTTCTTCTCTGGGTGCAGCAAAAACCAGAGTGATGCTTCCTATAGATGTTCTGCTGTGTTAGGGCAGCAGACAGGTACATTTGCAAAATATCAGAAAATTGACTATTTTATTTATCTACATTACTTAAAGGAGTATACATTACATTTATTTCTTACCTTACATATAAGGTAGTTCAGACAGTAAATTCCTTCATTCTTACGGTGATTATTGCTCTCCCTATTCATCATCAGGCCAAAGTGGTGCACAAGATAGACCTCATAATCAAATTAATTAATCAGTAGAATTGGAATACAAAATATCCACACATGCTTCTTTAAACGAAGAGGTAAGATCCAGATTTATGACCTCCAGTGATCAAAGCTGCCCTCTCTGCTTGGCTGTGGAACATTCCCCATATACTGTAGAGCTTGTTAGTTTGGCTTTACAACCCAGTTCCAGCTCTATACCTTTATGAAAGTTAAAAAACAGAAAACAATCCTTAGAAATAATATGCATAAGGTTTATAACTAAGAAAAAAACATAATTTTTTTCCGCTATTTGATCCAGAGTACATTTGGCTTTCTAAGTGAGTTGGCAGCAAACAAATCCCATGCCAATGGCTGTGGGAAATTGACTTCAACTCGTGTACTAAGAAAAGCTGACTGATTTAACTTATCCAGTTCAGTGATAAACAATATTTGGACACTTCACATTTCTATGGTGAGGAATCCTAATGGAAAATCTTGAAGTTTTTATTCTATTAAGCAGTCAATTTCTATGTCATTAACTTCACATTAGCTGCTGTAATAAACCCATACAAAGAGGTTTCCAAATAAATCATGATTCTTTAAATGGTGTGTGAATGGAAATATTTTGTTAATGCTAACCAGAGAAATTTAGAATGTTTGTTTATATTGTTGCGTTTGTGTTTTTTTCCTCGTGTGAGACAATCATACTACTGCGTACATAATGCATAACTTCCTTAAAATTGAACTTTAGAAAATGACTGTTGTGGTCTAACCTGGAAGGTGGTTGAGCACCGCACAGTTGAGCACTGCACTCCCCCTATTCCCAATGGGATGGGGGAAAAAATGAAAAAAACCAACAAAGTATCTCATCTTGTGGGTTGAGATAAAAACTAAGATAAGGAGTTTACTAAGATAAGGAGTAAACAATTTACAACTATGTATATAAAAAAATGTATGTAACAAGTGATGCACAAGCAATTGCTCACCACTCCCCAAATGATGCCTGGCTAGACCCTCGAGCAGCAGAAAAGCGCAAGATGCATCTACAGAATTCCTGCTTTTTGTCATATGCTATGGAATACCTCTTTGGCCATTTCAAGTCAGCTGTTCTAATTCTGTTCCCTCCCAGCTCCTTGAGCCTTTGCTGTGAATGGACTTGGCTTAGTCACCAACTATAAAAATCAATGTGTTACCGACATTGTTTTCCTCCGAGGGCCAAAGTATAGCATCATACCAGATGCCCTGAAGAAACCAATTATGTTCCAGCTGAAACTAAGACAGGCAGTTAACATGGAACTGAAAAACTTAAAGACGTTCATGGAGTAATTTAAGGCCAGAAATATAAGCACTGCAAATGACAATTTGAACATGTATTAAAAAATCATAAATAAAAGCTTATATTTGCTTCATATTTGTGTTCAAGTCTTATTAAAAACTGCTAAAACTAGTAGTAATTAAAAATCGGACATGTCTTTAGCCTGTGATTTCATACATAAGTGATACATATGAATGAAATATAGAAAACTAGTGTGAAACCTTTTTCTTTTTTTTTTCCTAAAAATTCAAATACAAATCAAGTGTTTGAATCTGGACACCATTTAGAAAAACTGTAAATATATCCTTGTTTTTTTTTTTTTCTTTTTTTTTCCTTATAGGAAACTATATTTGAGGAGACTTAAAAAAATATATGTATGTTAAGACTGCTGTGTTAGTTAAAAGACTGACCTTTATCAGCAGTGACTCTTCCCAGTCAATCAAATTGAGGAAGATGTAGTTTGCTCATTCCCAGGGGCTTGCACTCTTCCAAGAGCTCAGCAGAGATGTCTTTTTAGGGGAAGACCCTTGTTTCTGAGTGCTGTATGGGGACAGTCAGGTTACTGCTCATCACATATGCCATTCTTTTTCATTTTAGTCTGACGGAAAAATAGACAGTAGACATGAAGATGTGTATATTTCAAAAATATATTTCAAACAAGATTGTACAGACAATAAGCAGCAACCCTGCTCAAGATTTGTGGAGTCTGAAGTACGCACACTACTGAAGCAAAGGGCCACCCTGGAACAATTACAAATCCTGGAGTACACACGAGATCTATCTGCAAGTTGTTTTGTCTTCACCAGTCAAAAGGAACTGAAAGTTGTGAAGGCTCAGTGCCAGAGTCTCTCAGCCTGCATTGCAGACAACTAATCTTGACAAGACTACCAGAGGTGAGAGTGTGAGGGAAAGGAGGCTATGAGGGAAAAAGCACAAGTGGATAAAATGAATCTGGCTAGAGAGTTTATAAAATAAAATCAACCCCACTCCCTAATGTCTTCTGGTTTTGTTACACTGCTTTAACTCATACCAATCTTACAGCTAAGACATGTTGTGTTGATAAAGCGTGAAGCCATTATAGGTGAGAGAGCACTGAATACTTACACTTTTCCTGCAGCAGCTTTTCTGCTCTGAAGGAGGCCAGGATGCATTGCAGAAGCAGTCACTGAAGCTCACAGTTGCAGTGTGCCGTGGAGACCAGGTGAGTACAGTCAGAAAGATTGATGATGCTTTCTGAAGGGCTCTTTTAAAGCACCCTCCCACACACATATTCGTGGTTATATCACAGTGAATTCAGCATGTGACTCCGTATATGTAGCTAAGAATAATAGTGTCTGATTTACTGCTGTATTGCTCTAACTCTGGACTCAATCGAGTTGCACAGGCATAAAATTCAATAGTGAATAAATCCATAATGTGTGCCTACCCATATAAGTCATTTCCCAAGAAAACATAAACATTCTCAATACAGTCTACTCCATAAACAACAAAACCAGAAAAATGAGCTCTGCTTATAATCATTGTCATACATCCACAGACACATTTTAAACTGTTTCTTCCCTGCTACACGATACTACTGCATGCAATCCATCAAGTAAATACTGCACATGGATATTATCTCAAAAAGAAAGAGTGATTGTAGAACTATTTCCAATACTTATCTGTTTAAAGACTTCCATCCAGAATAAAGCAAACGTAGCACAGCTGCTTTTTCTGGCTGTACTCATCATACTGACTGTAAGCAGATTATTGTAATTATGATGGAAATTGCAGGAACTTGCCTTCTAATTGGAATCAAAATGGAATTTACAAAACAAATATGTAACAAACAGTGCTTTCTCCAATAGGGAAATAAACTAAAATACAATCTGTATGGTGCTTCCAGAAGTTATTTAGTGTTGGTAATATAAGCAGAAAGGGAAGGCTTCTTCCTCCTGTTTGTCTGAAATGGACAAGCTGAACGGCAACACACAGCTGTCCACCTGGAAGAGAGCTTTGCTGAGGAGTAATGGCTATTTCTACTGTAAGTGTATTAATCTTGTCAGGCTGGTAGGATTTGAACTGAGAAAAGGCAACTGCTTTACTCTACATTTTAAAGGATATTTCAGACAATGTGAGCAGTATGGAATCAAGAGGACTAGAAAGGAGAGAGAATGGAACAGAGGAAAATGGCATAGAAAAGAAACTGAGGAAAGAGCTGGAGCAGAGTTATGAGATAGGAAAGAGACTGTCTGATCTGATAAATTGAGTGATACTGGAGCATTTACTTCCAACAGAGATATTGAATATTATTACAAAATTGTAATTGTAAAATTGTAAAAGTGTTCTGTCAAATGAGTGGCAACAATTAGGCTTTTGTCAATTAAAAGCTTTATTGAAAAAAAAATATATTTCTTAAACCAAACATACCCTACTAGTGGAAGATTCCTGCAGACTGTATTCAGCAGTTGAGACCAGGAAGGAGCTTTCACAGACACAGACTCTGAGGCTCACATCAGGACTGCCACCAAATGTATTTGTGGAGCTGAGTAACATCTTTCCTGCCTCTGAAGATTGCCATATCATGCCTTCACCTTCCTGTATCTCTTGAAGGTGCCCATATCACTGGACTGTGAAAAAATATATATTTTGTTTATATTTCCTACTACTAGAGGAGTAGATTATCTGGCTCTGACCGATCTGAATGATGATCAGAGCAGCTGGCCAAACATACAGGACACACACCAATAAAAGGTGGTAATAAATGTACGTTCTCTTTAGGAGAGCAGGAAAAGGAAGTAAAAATGAAAGAGTGCCTGTGAATGTTAAGAAGTTAACACATTCTTGTCTCTTGGCCAGGTGTATTATCAGACATTATACGGATCTGAAATTCCATCTCTCTTTCACACATATCTCCACTTTGATAACAGACGGGTCTTATCGACCTGAGTGCAGCAGCAGGTAGATGCAGCAGCAGGATTTCCTACCCCAGGCACAGCACCCCTCACCTTTCTCTGGCTTAAGGGTTCCGTGGCCTTAAGTGTTTTATAAACATGCAACCCAATCCTTTTCTCATTGTTCCACTAAAGAAAAAAATGTAAACAAATGCACAAAGAAACAACTCACACTGCACTGCAACAAAACCTTCTTTCAATTAGGATTTAAACTAAGGAGGTTGTATGAGATCCATAACTGGCTTGGACTTGGAAACCTCAGCTTCATGCTGCCTAAGAGTCCATTTTATCTCCTCACAGACTAACTTATCACCTACTACCTCAAAATAGCCTTCCGTGCCAGTGTGAACTCTGCTCTAAAAAAAAGGTGGAAAAAGGGAAAAAGGAGGCTGATTTTGTTTGATCTACCAGCAATGTGAATTCACTGGAAATCTTTTTTCTAAGAAAATATTTTTACTTCATGAGCTGCAGATGTCTGTGAAGTCATCCCTACTTAGATCACCTTCTGAACTTGTTTTCTTTACTAAAACCCAACTTTAGTGGGAATAAGGATATCTCCTCTCAAGGTATTTCCTCCCAGCTGGACTAGTTTTGAATACAGAATTTCATAATTAATGTACTACTTGAATGTCCTGCATTAAAGAAAATAAACATGGGCTAGTAATTGTTTTTGAATCACTACTGATAGAGATTAACTTCTAGTAACTTCAACTTCTCTCCTATAAGTTATGTTATGCCTGGAAATGGAAAATCAGTTCTGGAAGTATCGTCCACACGTTCTGCTGAAATCTGATGCCTCAAACGGAATGCTTTTTTAATAGGCTGATGAAATAAATGTTTTTATGGAGAAACTATAAGTTTCTTCCTCTTTTTACTTACTACAGAATTATGTAGGTCTTTGTGTATCTATCTGCCACTGTATGGCTAACTTTTGCAACACAATTATTTTTTATTATTGAATATTTTCATTTCAGATACCATTTCAGATTTAGCACAAATAGCTAATTATAGTTCATATTATTACAAGCATTAAAATATGAAATCCTTGATGTTTTGAATATTCTATTATAAAGCCATTTCCTACTGTACTAAGACCTAGGAAATTTAGTCATGGTCCATTTCCACTTCTGGAAACATAAAAGAATAAAAGAAAAATAATCACTAAGAACTTATACCTGCACTTGGCCAAAAGATAATATCTTTAAATACAAATTTCTTGCAATTGAAAGAACTCTGGACAAAGAAGAGTTTGATGATCTTCTGGAAAATCTAGAACACACAGATCCCCAAGGCAAGTGCTCTCATATGAGCTCTAAAACTTTTCCAGCTTTTTTTTTCTTATGAGGACTTGATAAGGCTCTTGCTCACCGAAGCAGTTCAATGTCTAAGTGCTGTCAGATTACGTGTATCTATTTTTGTGCTGATATCTGACACTAACAGCTCTTCTGCTGCTCAGTACTGAGAACTTGAGCATGTTCCCAGCAGTTGCTGGTAATATCAAGGCACTCTTTTGCCATTGTGGAGAGAACACTTAAAACTTTCCACAAAGCTGTGCTCCTGCTTGAGAACCTCATCTTTCATCACACCAGATTTGATTGTACTTGTCATCCTGTTAAATATAATCACAAATTTCAAGCCATGAAAGGCTGTTTTAGTAATTTTAAAAACAAATGTATTTTTCTTGAATGAATATTTTAGTATATTTAACTTTATTCTGCCTCTAGAAAATTCTGATTTCAGCAGGCATTCTCATGACAATCCAAACCTGCCTGCAAGTAACAGAATGTAACAGGGACAATTTGGATATGATAGCAGTAAAGCTCTGGTCCTCTGGATGTCTAGCTTCAGCTCCATGGGTCTTGGCATGCATTCAGGCAGCCAGGATGCTTTCAGTGTGGTGGAAAATAAAGACCTGATGGCATCCTACAGCACATAGACAGGCAAAAGATGAAATGTTAATGGTAGGTCCTGCATCCAAAGCAACAGAAGGAAGGCAGACAGGTCTGTAAATGCCTCTCATAAAATGTCTTTCCAGAAGTGCATCTTAGTACTCAATTTTAAGAAAAAAATAACCTTGGCAAGTACATTTCTGAAGTGGATGTGGTCTTGCCCATTGAATAGGTATGTCTGTGTAAACTAGGCATGAAAAATAGTCCATTTTTACTCTGTGAATATACCAGAATTCTTTCATGAGGAAATCTTAACATGTTTTTTTGTGGAGGTGGAATTGGAAGATAGTGGAGGCGAAGTGGAGTGATTTCTGAATGCCAGATTTGCAGCTATCCAGTTTGTGGATTCTTACTCTTCCTGCTGAAGTGATAATACAGTCTGTAAATACTTTTAGAACATCATTTAATATTAATCATTCACTTAAGGACAATTTCTGCTTTCATTAGAGTCAATGTCTATGATTTGAATAGTTAAAGTCACTGCAGCATCTGGCCCCTAGTGTAGCCTTTTAAAAATACATTCTTGTTTTGGTCACTGAAAACAGTGTGCAAACTATCATTCAAAAACTCAGTTTCTCATAAGTTTCCTGGAAATCTTCTGTGTTTGTCTTACCTTAATCATTCATGCAGATTTGAAAACACAGAACAACACAGTGCATACAATGGAGAGAGTTCAGGCTTCTTTGCCTTGCCTTTATTTCTAGCTTGTGCCATATTGTTTACAGGCAAACTTATACTAAAAAAAAAAGGCATTTCTCTAATCTGTTGTGCAGCTGGGTCTTCGCCAAGATTTCTGTAGACTCAGCTCTCTTCACACCTTCTCTTGTCATAGTGAAGGTTTCTGAACTTTGTCACTGCCTGTTCCACTTGACTGAGACCTGCCTCCAAGCCTTGCCAAGGTGGTTCCTCCCTCCCTGCTGTCTTCCAGAAACAGAACATTTCGAAGCTATCCTCTTTTCTTTTTAGGATAGATGAAGTAAAATTGAGTCAGTTACAGAATTTTCAGGTAAATATATTTTTGAAAGAATGTGCCACTTAGCTAAAGCTTTTATGAAGAGACAATTATCTTCTATTTCTTTTTTCTTTTTAGCAAGAATTCCGATACTAACATTCTGCTAGCAGTTTTTATTTGGAAGGAGAGAGACAGAAATAGAGGAGAATAATACAAAAAAATCTTGTCTTTTCAATCCAAAGGTGGATATTTCACAAAAGCACTGAAGAGTATCAGTGTTTTCTTCCAATTTTAAAAGTAACCAAGAGTGCAATGGCATTCTGCCTGGTCTTTCTTTCTTGCTAGGAATATAGCTGGCAACAGA